AGCAAGAGTAAAGGACAACTGAGCAGTGACATCCTCTTTGAGTTAGCCCAGTTCTCAAAATGGGTCCATTTCCTAGAATAAGAGTACCTAGTCAAAGAATTTTCAAGCCTGGACTAGTACATCATAAACCTCTGGGGAGAAGTGGGGCCCTGGGGACATATCCTCCATGCTGTGAGGTGTAGGTGCCCAATACCATGATGCAGAAGGGGGTCCCATGTTACTAGGTCCCGAGTGTGGGGGGGAAGGGTGACGTAGTCTGAACCTGTTAGATGAAGAAGCCTCAAAAACAAAAACTGGCACAGCCAAAAGTGAGCTATCAGGATGTAATCCAAGTTGTCCACTATCAGCTTCCCAAGATCTCTGGTCAGAAGAGGGAATTGGGGGGAAAGCATAGAACAGACAGCCTGTCCAGGAGATTTGGAATGCATCCCCCAACAAGGTGGGATCACTGCCTGCTAGTGAGCAAGATTTGGGGGCCTTCTTTGTATCGTATGTGGCAAAACGGTCCAAATGTGCAACCCCCGCCTCTCGAAGATTTGAAGGTATTTGGTTTGGATGGACCATTTGTGGTTGGAAAGGTAGGTTCTGCTTAACCTGCTGGCAGGAGAGTTCAGGGCCTGTGCTATGTGAATGGCTCTGAAGGAAATCTGGTTCTGGATGGCCACAGTCCAGACTGCAACAGCCTCTGCACACACCCTCTGTCCCTATACCTCCTTGTTTGTTCACACAGTACATGGTGGTTGTATTGTCTGTCTGAACCAGCACTCTCTTGCCCCAGAGAATATCAGAGAGAGAGAGGTAAGGGCAAAATTGACTGCAGGATATTAATGTGGACCACCTACCCTGTACCAAAAAACCCTCGTAATGGGATGCATCTGCAAGTAAGGGTAGTCTGCGGAATCCAAAAACTGAATCAAACCCCAGTGAAAAGGTTGACATCTTCAGTACACTGTACTGTACAGTGAAGAGATCTGGCAACTGACCTGGGAATGGAAAAATGATAGCTTGGCCTGGGGCATGTCTCGCAGGGTCAAATCTTCTAATGAATGTCACACAGTTTTGTAAGTCACACATATGTAGTCTAGCTAGGGATATAACCGTCGTGGTGGAAGCCATCAGGCCAAGCAAGCACTGAATTGACCTAACAGATTGCCACATTTTCCAAAGAAAAGTAGTGGACGTAGCTTTAATGGTTCTGGAGGCAAGACGTCCTTAGCATGCATAGAACTGAAAGAAGCCCTGATAAACTGAATTAGGTGGGAGGCTCCAAACAGGATTTCTCTCTGTTAACCATCAGTCCTAACCTTTGTCAAGTGAACTGGACCAAATCCACACGAGCCCTCAGAAGCTCCCAAGAGGCTGCAACAAGGAAAAACGACGCATCCTTGTTATTCCCAGGTTGGCCACAACCAATGCCATGCACTGGGTGAAGGACTCTACAGGCCATGGGGGCAGGCCAAACAGGAGGGTGGAATACTGGGGAACCTCAGAACCGTGCTGAATTTAAGGTACTTCCTATGTGACGGGTGAATGGCGATATGAAAATAGGCACCTTTAAGGTCTAGCATCACAAACCATGAGTTAGGTGTAAGGAACTCAACAACAGATGAAAGAGAGACCGTTCTAAGTTCAGACACCTTCAAAAACATGTTTAATTTCCTTAAATCAAGGATGGGTCTATGATCTCCATCTCTTTTTGTCAATGAGAAAAAACTCAAAGGAAAACCCTATGACTGGAGACCCGAGGGAACTCCCTTTCCCAGGAGCTCCTCAAGCTGTAGCCGGAGCTCAGGATATGGGTTGTCAACTACTGCTAAAGCAGGAAGACAGGAGGGCAATGAGGTAAATTCTTAAAAAATAAAAAACCCACTATGAACTATAGCCAGGACCAAGCTATCAGAGCAAATAGTTTGCCATTTCACATAAAAGCAGGCTAGTCTATCCCTGAAATGGGGACCTTGTGCCTGAAAATTCGACAACTGCTGGCTCTGACCTCTCTGGGGGTCTTGTTGGCCTCCAGACCTTGGCCATGTAGCGCTCTTTCGTTTCTGGAAGGGAAGGAGATTGATACCTGCAATGAGGATATTGTTGAGTAACCTGACGCTGCTGCTGTCTTTGGCCATGATAGAAGGGGGTGGCAAAAACCTCTCTGGCAGGGATGAAGCACTGATGCAGGGGCATAGATGGGAGGACCCCAAGGGATTTGGCAGTCTCTCTGTTCCTTTCAGCCATAGAGAGGAACTCATCAGTGTATGTGCGTGTTGTTGTGAGAAAAGGCTTGAACCTTCAAAAGGGAGATCCTCTACTCGCAGCACATTTCCAGAGGAAAGGCCATCATGTGCAGGCAGGAGGGCCTACACAAAACAATGGCCAAGGCCACAGACCTTGCAGATGACTCTGCAGTAAGTCTATCTGTATTTATTTCTTGGTTGGAGAACTTTATGGCCTCCAATTGGATCAGTTTGGCCTGAGAGGCTCCTCAAGGAGGGTACTGAGGTACTGCGACAGCTTCTTCCACAGAAAAAGCTGATAGCCTCCCATAATGGCTTGATAATTAGAGATCCTAAAGGTCAGAGTTGCTGAAGAATATATTTTACATCCCAGAGAGTCCAGGCATCAACCCTATCGGATGGAGTTGAGTGCTGACCCTGTCTGTGGCTCATTGGCATCTCTTCAGTGACCGGGGAAGAAGGCGACATGTGGATAGATAAGAAGTCACAGGAATCCTGCTTGACTTTATACAGGTTTTCTGCTACACATGAGGTGACTGGTGTGGGTGCTGGTTTTTGCCAAACTGGGGCTGTGAGGTCAGTAAGGCCCTGTAAGACTGAGAAGGCCACAATGTCTAAATACAACTCAAGATTTTGTATTTTGGTTTATAATCAATTGCAGTGACATCTATGTGCAAAGCCTTGGCTATTCTCAACATTTGCTCATCATACAGGCGAAGATCCTCATTTGGGGAAATGGGGGTGGGGTTCCCCACTCTATCATCTGGAGAGGTTTCAGAGTGGCTCTCAGAACTGTAGCAGGACACCAATGTCCCTTCATCTTCAGATCAGATTCTGGAGACAACACAGGCATAAGGGGTAAATGGAGCTCTTGACACATTAAATCCCCAGACAGCCCAAGTTGGCAACGTTGTGTGTAAAAATCTGGCCACTGCTGGAGGTCAGTGGGAGACATATAGCAGGGATGCCATTGGGGAGGCGGACAGGTCTTGGGCCAAGGAGCAAGAATGCTCGGTTCTGACTGGGGAGGTAAACATTCTCCACCAGGAAGGCTGGTCTGCTCCCCTTCAGTCTCAGAAAGCATCCTGTCAGGAGAGTCAAGGTGGAGTGACAGGGTGGTGAGGGGCTACCAAAATAATGTCTGGCTCCTCAGAAGATGATACAGGAAGGGAAGACAGGCATTTCTGGTGTTTAGAAGCCGTTCCTGTCTTTTCCTTGTGCTTGGTCTTCTTTGGCTTCTTCGATGGCAGTTGTCAAGGTCTGAGGTGCAGGCAGAGGGAAGTCCAAGTTCAGTCCGGAGTCTTGAGCCAAAAGGAGTGGAGCAGGAACCGAGAGTGAAAGTCCAAATCACAAACCAGGAGCGAGATCATTCAAGCCAGAGTGAGAAGCTGGAGGAGAGGAGCAGGAACAAGGTCTGGAACCAGGAAGTGGAGTAAACACAAGGCGTCGCGAAGTTTGACGAGTTTGCTTCCACAAAGGAGCCAGCTTAGAGCCTGAAGCTAAATAGCCGTCTGCTGCTGTTTCCAATTAGCGCAGGGGCACCAGCAGCCAAGCGTCTGTCAAAACTCAGGATTAACAGACTGTCTGCTCTGCAAACGAGCTACATGCCGCCTCGTTGCTAAGTCCTGCCGGGGTCGGTCTTGTAAGCGAGCAACTCTTGGGGGCAAGTTGGGAGGGCTTTCCATCTGTGGCTGCTCCTCATCAGCTGTTTCTGAGCCACGTGCCAGTGCGGGCGGTGACGGCAAATTGCCGAACTCTGAAGCTTCAGAGGGGCCAGCTGTGTGTTCTGCTGGAGCTGGCAACGGCCCTTCCTCAGCACCCATGACAGCAGTTCTGAAGAACTGCCGGGTGGAAGCGAGGAATCAGGAGACAATGAATGAGGGCATCTCGATTCTGAAGCTAGGGCCATAGACACTGATATCTCTGAATGCGAGTGAGGTTTGCTGGCTACTGGAACTGTTGGAACTGAGAGTACTGATGGTGGGCTGGAATTGACCTCCGATGCCAGAACTGAAGGGACTGACAGAAGGAGGGCGCTCTAGGAGGTTCTGTACTCTGAACCGACTTGGATGGTTTGGATGAGGTGAGGGCCTTTTCCCAAAGAGCGGCCTATACACGGAATGCTCTGTCAGAACATGCCTTCAAAGTAAAGCAGTCGCAAATTTTGCACACAGCCATGTTGTGTGACTCTCCCAAGCACATAAGACACAAGTTGTGCTTGATGCTATAGGTCTTTTTGGTTGCACAATGAGTGCATTTTTTAAAAAAGTGCCTTGGTAGACATAGCAGGCAGATAAACTCCACAGTGGGGAAGAATGGCTAAGAACATCTTGGGTGTGTGTGTAAGTCAACAAAAACCACCTCAACTGTAAAGAGGAATCCTCTGAAGGCTCAAGCCCTGGGAGTCGGTGACCCGCAAAAAGATTCTGTTCCAAAAAAAACTCCCAGAGAAGTGCAAAAAACATGAAGACTCAAAGAAAAGACAAAGACTCCTAAATGCAGCAAAGCTAGCACAATCCTATCAATGCGGTAGCAGAAAAGGAACTGAGGGGAAGGCAGGCGCTCCCCTCCAGAACACATCACAGTTTAGGCATGAAGGATCCATCGCAGAAGCTTCAGTTCCTAAGAGCTAGAAAAATTCTGTCTGTTGCCAGCCTGCACTGATGTAGTTCCGATGTGGGCCTACACTGAAGATGGAAGATGAAAGGTAATGACAGAACAGGCACATATTCCAAGTGCACATATTAACATTTAATTTTTTATGCATACCTGAGTTTAAGACTCTCTGAAAGTCTTTCAGCTTCCTCAATAGCTTTTTTAATGTTTGAAGGTCCAAGTAACGAATGAAAGTAATCCTGAAATGATAAGAAGCAAATCCATTTATTATAGTGGTCCCGTACAGAAAATATTTGCCAACCATTACCACTTTGGCACACTGTGTGGTAGGAGAGTCATCAACGGATTCAAGAGAGACTGCACGCTGTCTCTGAGAGGTTACATGAAGTTAGTGGTGTCACAGCCCGCTTGTATATCTATTTGCTGCACTTTTCAGTACTCTGCTTCTTTGCAGCATTTTGGTAGAAAGGGAAAGGAAGGTAGATAATCAGCTTATCACTGGATACACAGCTCATCTGCCTGAAAGCATACAGTAAATCTACCACAACATTTTAAAAAGGACTACAACTAAAAATGGTCTTCAGGAACAGAAGTTTCTTAGCAAATAATATCATTGGCTTAAGATGTAATTCTGTCAACAGCCCCTCAGATCTCCAAGTGCAATGCTTATCCTTACATCTGAAAATAAATAAAACCACTGGGAACTGGATACATACCTGCTGTTGTTTGAAATCAGGCCTCTTATTAATAAGGTTATACACAGTCACATACTTCATGTAAAGTACATATGCCTTCTCTTCATCTCTGTCCAACCGGCACTCTTCAGCTGCTTTGAAGATCTTAAGGGCACTCTGTACATAGCTTGAAATCAAAGCAAATGGATTTAAAAATACAAAACAAAAAATTGTTTTGCTTTCAAAAATAAAGAATGCATAAAAGTGGAATTCTTCAAAGGTGAAATTCTGCTTTGAGCACAAACATCTTCTAAGTAAGCTCAAGAGACAAAGTCTCCTGCACATGAGATGCAGTCACTTTCATTTTATTTACCTTCTCTTAAGATTATTTTTGCTAGTGCTGCAAAAAACCTCAGCAGTACATTGAATACTACCACACACAAACATTAAGACACAGAATTTTCAGCAAAGGGGTGGCTGTCTACCGGTTCTATCAGCAGAAAAGAAAAACAAAACATCCTACAGTTTTGAACTGTAATCTTAATGCTGAAATTTTAACCTTTACCAAGTGATAATGTGCATTAACACTGCTGCTCTTCAAAGCTCACTTTTCCTACTTACAGTAATGCTATAAAGGAGCGCCAGTATGGTGTAGTGGTTAAGAGTGTCAGACTAGTATCAGGGATACCCAGGCTCAAATCCCTACTCATGGGCCAGTCACTCTCAGCCTAACCTACCTCACAGGGTTGTTGTAAGGATAAAATCAAGGAGAGAAGAATTATGTCAGCCGCCTTGGGTCCCCACTGGGGAGAAAGCAGGGTACAAATAAAGTAAACAAATAAAGGGAAAAAACTATATTTATTTATTGAATTTGTACCCCGTCTTCCCCGCAAAGGAGGCTCAGGGTGGCTGGAAAGTGAGTACATCCATTAGCAGAGGAACTTAGCTAGAACTAACATAGCTACCCTTTTACAAGATAAAAATGCTTTGTGTGTGTGTGTGTGTGTGTGTGTGTGTATGGAGTACAGAATCTAGGAGAACGGTCACTGCACAGAATTAATTATAAGAATCAAGATGGGTAACAGTCCAATCCTAAGCAAAGTTACACCCTTCTAAATCCAGTTACTTCAGGATTGCACTGTACGTCAACTAAGCAAACATCCATACCTCTTAGTGCTGGTTTTCTCAGGTTTTATTTCAGTCTTTTTGTTAAGATCTTTCAGTGAAGTGCAGAGGTATAGGTCTTTAGGGACTGAAGCCACAGCAGGCATGTTAATACTGAGGGTATTTTGTCTCTTCAAATAAGGACAGTGCAGATCTTTAAATTACTAATCAACAATCCTCGTTTTCTGAAAAATAAAAGATTGAAACGACTGAATATCTTTGAACATTCTGAATGCTTGCTTGTACATGTTTCTGAAATGCAAGCAAGAAAGTTCAGCATTGAAAATGGTTCTAAGCCCATTTTGTTCCTAAAGAAGGCCAATGTCTTTCAAAGCCAGCAGGTTTAACAATATGAGTCGTTTGTGTGTTGCACCAAATGCCGGTTAGGAATTGTTCTTAAACATATGGACTAGAAAGAAGGTGCTATCCACAGTTATGAACTGTTTTCTATATCTCTCAGTATGGAGACATTCCCCCATATTTCTCCACCTGCACATATCTTCCTTGTCCAATTAATCATGAGACAGTAGTGGTGACTGGTTTTTCTCCCACACACACTATGGATTACTAATAAAGACTTCATATCCTGGAAGCTTCAAGTCCTTTCTAAATATATCATAAAGGTTCAGCACGTTATCTAATTTTTATTCTTCACCACCTAAGCAGCAGTGTGTAATTAGGCTCTGCTGAGATTAAATGCAATATTACTTTTAGGTATAATTGGAACACACACAAAAATAGGACCCCCACCCCACAAAATACAGACTGATAATGCAACATCACTAAAGGCTACTAATACCTCCTGAGAACGAACTCCTGAATATGGCAATCAGAATGTATTGCCAACTCATTACAGGGCAGAAAACTGGCAGATGCCGGCTTTCCCCACAAATCTCATGCACCCTGTGGTCACGTGAAAAGGCTCTAAATGGAGACGTTAACATGATACTGAGGTAAAAATTCTTTAAATGCTTAAACTTGAAGTAGTTTAAAACTAAAAACAGAGATGCTTCACTTTAAAAAATCATTTTTGTTTGAACTGAGTGCCAGTTTGGTATAGTGGTTAGCAGGGGTCATTTCCTGCAGGAGCACACAGGAGTGGAGCTCCAGCAGTCAAGAGCCCAGGGGGCGGGCACATGCAACAAGCCCCACCCCCTGCTCCCAGCAACCCTCAGTCAGAGCAAGAAGCAGCCAGGTAAGTTGCAGAGTTCCCCCCCCCCGACCCAAAACAGTCCAGTGGCACCTTTAAGACCAAGTTTTATTCAAGTACAAGCTCTCCCTCCTCTCCAAGGACAGATCTGCACGTTCCCCTCCCCCCCAATAGCTATCAATACAAAACAGTCCAGTGGAGCCTGAGCGGTGGATGTTGCTTTCTGACACACTTCCGGTGATGTCAGGGGGTGTGGCATATGCAAATAAGTTATGCTAATGAGTTACGCTAATGAACTCCTGCACCTCTTTTTCTATGAAATGACCCCTGGTGGTTAGACACTTAGACTACTAGGACCTAGGAGACCCAGGTTCAAATCCCCACTTTGCCATGAAGTCTTACTTGGTGACCTGGGGCCAATCACACCCTCTCACCCTAACCTACCTCACAGGGTTGTTGGGGAAGATAAAATGATGCTCACTCTCTCTCTCTATGTCTCTCTGAGCTTAGCCTACCTCACAGAGTAGTTGTTGGAAGGATAATATGGAGGAAGGGAGAATGAAGTTATAAGCAGCTCTGGGTCCCCACCAATGTTCCCTCTAAGCTGCGGAGTCTTGTGAGCAAGAATTCTACTTTGTGAGCTAAAGGCCTTAAAGTTGTGAGCGAGCGATTCGGTTATTGCATACATTAGTTTGCTCTGGAGCCCTCCTCGCTGAGCCAAGACATAAATGTGTGAGCCAGAGACTAAAAAACTGTGAGCCGGCTCACACTAACTCAGCTTAGAGGGAACACTGGTCCCCACTGTCATGACCCTCTCCATCGAGCTGAGTGACTTAAACTCAGTGAGCCAGTGTAGTGTTGTGGTTAAGAGCAGCAGACTCTAACCCAGAGAACCAGGTTTGATTCCTCACTCCTCCAAACACAGCCTGCTGGGTGACCATGGGCCAGTCACAGTTCTCTCAGAGCTCTCTCAGCCCCACCTTCCTCACAAGGTGCCTGTTGTGGGGAGGAGAAGGGAAGGTGGTTATAAGCCACTTAGACTATAGACTCCTTAGGGCATAAAAAACCACTCTTCTTCTTCTCTTCTTCAATGGAAGAGCCTGAGGGACCAAGTCCACCTGCTGAAGAGGACCATCGGAACCAGGGAGGGCCTGACATGGCAGAGGTGCCAGCGGATGATGTGCCAGAAGCCACCCTGTTGGAACCTGCAAGTGAAACCTCACTGCCAGCCCCTGAGATAGGTCTTGAACCTGTGCCTATAGCTTCCCGGGGCCTGTCCCCTCTCTACTGGAATGGCGGTGACAGAAGGCCTGGGCTGAAGCAGCCCAAAGAAGGTGAAGTGCCAGACTGGCAGGGTGCGACACTGTCTCAGAGCCAGGCAGTGAGGATGATACTTATTTGCGAGATCCTGGCCACAGCATAGAACAGGGCAACTGATTACCTCCCAGCCTATTTAGGCTAAAGGTTGGGAAGGCTACCTTGCTGGATCAATTGGTCCACTAGGCACAGCACTGTGTGCCAGCTCCAGGCCTCCAGTTCCAGGCTGCCAGCACCCATCAATGCTCTCAAGCCTCGCTACCGAGACCAGAGGGCACTGCTCCAGAGGAGACCTGACCAGCTGGCCTGCAGAACGCAAGACACAAATGGGAAGAAGAGCAGGGTATACATATCTAAATAAATACATTCTACTCTCCCTTCATGTGAAAAAATACGTTTAAAGAGGGGAAATACAGTGTGGTTTCCCTCAATCACAAATACCTATAGGATATTCACAAGCCAAGTTTACAATGCTTTTTATTTATTTTTATTTTTTTATTTACATGCGACTTATATACCGCTCATAACCCCTAATGGGTCTCAGAGCGGTTTTACAGGGAACTACATATTTGTAGTTAGTTCCTAGCTAGGGCCACAATTCACTTCAGGGGGAGGGATATCCTACCAGCACCCTCTTATTTCGGCACGATCCTTCTTTCCTTTTCTCCGGCGGGTTCGTTGATCTTCTTCCGATGATCCGGACGGCTAGCGACCAGGCTTCAAGCAGGCTTGTTGTTTAGTCTCCGAGCGCCGCGGTTTCTCGACTCAGCTTCCGGCAATGTCCCAACGGCTCCTGCCGTGGCTGGGTCCTACGTCGCTGTGTCGCTCTGGCTCTGGTGTCGCTCTGGCTCCGACTCCACCCTCCAACTCCGCCCTCGCTCGAGCAGCTGCTGCCGTCCTGGATCACTCTCTGCAGCCGCCATTTTTCCTCGCTCGCTGCCGCCGCCTTCTCTCTTCATTTCTCTGTCGTTGCCGACCCCCTTCCCAGCAACAAGCCAGGAGGAGGAGGATGCCCCCTGCCACCTAGGGCAGGTACCCATTCCTCTTTGTTATTAATAGAGCCGCTGGGTTGGCGGGAGCTGGGACGGGGGCCGGGGGCTCAACCCGGCTGCGGTGGGGATTCGAACAGCCTTATGGCTGTTCGCTACAGATGTTAACTGCAGGCGTTGTATTGCCTGCGCCACCGCTCCCTTTTAACCTCAGTACATAAGTCTTCCCTTTTTACAATATAATTTCTAATCCCTTTTATTTCACAGGAGATGTCCAACATGAAATGCTACTTCAAGACCATAATGTGTCCTTGGCAAGCAGAGCAAACCTTTTAAAACAACATTCCAAAGCCCGTGGGCACGAATAGGCCCAGTCAACACAGCTATAAGGCTGACTCCAACCTTTGAAAACAGCCCCAACATCTTTAGGCAACTTCCATCAGCCAAAAACGTGCATTTTATATGAAGAACTAATTTTGTGGAGCAAATATAGAAGCTTAAAGGTGCTTCACTTTCACAGGCCCAAATGGAAGATTTGTCATGTCAGGGCTTTTTTTTTTTTTTTTTAAGAGGTGCCAGAACTCTCCAGAGGGAAATGAAGTTTTCTGTCTGTATACTGAAAACTCATGAATTTTAAAACATTTTTAAAATAATTTTGTTTAAGAGGTTCCGGAACTGCATTCCAGTGCGTTCCCCCCCCAAAAAAGCTCATGTTAATAAGATTTTCATATGACGATACGTGGTACCCTTAAGGTCCTTCAAGTTTGCCTCAATATATATCAACCTTGTTAAAAACAAACTGGACAGCATTGCAGATAATGATTTCTTCCATTTCTAAGTAACAGGTTTCCATGCTTACTAAGAATATGAGTCACATCCAGTTGCTATCTGCATAAGCTATGTTGTGAAATATAACACACTAATAAACCAGCATGATATAGTGGTCAGTGTCACACTGGGATCTGGGAGACCCAGGATCTGGTTCCCAGTGCGCCATGAAACTCTTAGTCTGATCTTGGGCAAATCACTTTATTTCATATTTACCTGCCGCACAGTTGTTGGTGAGGACAGAATGGAGAACGGGAGAAAAATTTACTGTGAAGGAAGGAGAAAGTTACATCTGCTGATCAAACATGTGGTAAACAGTGAACAATTCCTATCAGTGCATCTCCTCTTCCCCAAAAAACTCTGTTACTGCTACATGAATTACTTTCATCTGGTCCAAACCTGGCAGCTCCCTCCCCCCGGACTGGGCTATACCTCCCCCCCCTTCATTAGAGCAAGTAAGATGCAGCATACTAATTAAATGAAGATTGTCATAAAACTGTCATTTTTAAAGTACAAACATTAAACTGATACTGTTCCACCAAAATAATGTGATCTATGTCAGGCCAGTAATGTAAAACTACTTTTTTTTGTCCATATACTTCCCACGTACTAAGAGCAAAAATGAATTCTTGATTTGTACAACACCCTTTCTCACTCTATGAACCATACTCTCTATCTAGACCACATCACGGATAAAATGCTTAAAAACCCTATCTGAATGCAACCCAAGTCCCTTAAAATCAAGACTGATTTTATGGCTGCCTTTAATAGGATGTTGATGATACTTTTTATCTGAAGTCTACATATGGATACAAGATTTACAAAATTAGAAGCACTGGTTAATATTAATAAATATTTATTATAATATTAATAAATATTAACCAACAGACTTGTTAAAAGCTATTCTGCTTACTGCAGTGGAGTTAAGACATTAATGAAAGTCTTCACTGAAGACTGCAACTGTACACCATTCAAAATTATCAAGCCAAACACTGTCCAGTTCTCACACATATGTGTCAATTATTTCTACAACACCTTTCATTTGTTAATACGTAACTGCAGAAATCCTAACTCACAGTGAAATCTGAAGATACCCTTCTAAGTCTGTTGAAGTGAATGGGCTTAGCTGAGCATAACTATGCATAGAACTGCATGGTCAATAATCCACCCAAGTGAATGCTGTTCCCCCCCCATTTCTTATAAGTTTTCACATATCAGTCCTTTTACTTCCCATACATCACAATTTTTGCTAGTATGATTTTTTATAAACAAATATTTGTGTAAATATTTACCAGTGGCAACTTCCAATATATTCACAAAATATTTTAACACCCACAGTTCTCATAGTCCACTTCTGCTTCACATCCATGTACTACTGACAACCACACATCCTGCATTGAGATAGGTAGGTAAAAGAAGATGAAGAAGAGACTGGATTTATACCCCGCCCGTCACTCAGAGCGGTTTACAGTCTCCTTCCCTTCCTATCCCCACACCCTGTGAGGTGGGTGGGGCTGCAAGAGTTCTGAGAGAACTGCTCTTGAGAGAACAGCTCTGAGAGCACTGTAGCTGACCCAAGGTCACCCAGCTGGCTGCATGTGGAGGAGTGGGGAATCAAACCCGGTTCTCCAAATTAGAGTCCACCACTCTTAATTCTTTATACTCTCATTATACTATTAACCTGAATGAGAATAACTAAAGCTTTTTCTACCTATCTATGAACAACAGAATTAAAATGTTAAGTAGTAACTTATTATTACTACTTACTGGACTCACATATCCACAGTTTTTACTGGGGTGGGAAGATGGAGAAAGGGAAGCACTTCCTGCATTCCTTAAAGATCCTGTGGCCTTCATGGTCATATGATTGACAGAGGAAATGTTAGGCAGTTCCTGTACCACTAACTATTACAGGCTTACACAATATCAGTTAAATAATGTAGGCAGAATACAAGTTAACATTTTGCTTTGTCAGCACATAACTGCAACCAGCCCAGCATGCACTTCTGGCTTCCTTCACCTGTGATATATGTACAGTGATGGACTAGATCAAGATCGGTAGTTGTGTTAGTCTCTCTTCAGCAGTAGAAGAGCAAGAGTCCAGCAGCACCTTAAAGACTTAACGAAATTTGTGGCAGGATATGAGCTTTTTTGAGTCACATGAAGAAGTGAGCAGTGACTCACTAAAGCTCATCCTCTGCCACAAATTTTGTTAGTCTTTAAGGTGGTATGGGACTCTTGCTCCTTTCTAGTGATGGACTAGAGCCTGGAAGACCCAAGTTCAAGTGCTTGCTCTGCCATGAATCTCACTGAGTAACCTTGGGCCAGTGGGACTGAGAGGCTAGTCCCAAAAAGTAAAGCATAAAATTAAAATTGCGTGATCTCCCTGCCTCTTTTCAGGAATCCAGACTTCCAACATATAACAATTCCACGTTGTAGGTTCCCAGCATGCACAAGTGCTTAAACGTGTGACTGTGACACACTCCGACCTACATGAGGAATAAGGAGTCTTGCAGCACCTTCATAACTACATTTTATTTTAGTATAAGCTTTTCTGCGTTAGACTTCATCTCCTCACATCTGATGAAGCAGAGTCTTACGCATGAAAGCTTACGCTGAAATAAAATTTAGTTAAGTCATTAAGGTACTACAAGACCCTTGTTCATTTTTATAGCAATGTGCCTATCCTTTTGGAATTACTGTCATATGTGAAGTAGCCCAAAGGCACTTAGGCGTACAAGTTCCCAAGGGCTTCTTCAAGTATTATGCTTTCAAAACAAATTACACATTCTGCTTGTTTACTTATTTTTCTTTTCTTAATGGGCAAGCAACATTACAACATTACATAACACTCCCCAAAAGGAAGCCACGTAACAGTAAGAAAACATGCAGAAAAAACCTGAAGAACAATGACAGCAACAGCAGTTGACCGAAAAAGAGCCACTGTAAACAGAGGTAGACACTGTAAATTGAGGTAAAACAGACTGTCTGCTGTTTTAGTGTTCATATAATCCCCAAATTAATCAGAAGTCCAGCAGCACCTTACTGATATGTATTCTAGGGGGGATCTTTAAAAAAAAATGTCTGCTGCAGTAAATGTTGTCAGACTTTAAGCTGCCACTGGACTTTCACACAGTTCCATAAAATACATCGCGTTTTTAAAATACACACTTCTTTCTCTCTCAAGCATACACTTCAAAAAGGTAAAGTGTGAATGTGACCAAGAAGGTTCTGAACACACTTCACAACACAACTAGAATCGGCGGCGGCTCTCTGCTAAGCGTCATTTGAAAAAACGAAACACCCCGAGTTTGTTGCTGCGTAATGTGTGGAAACAGCCCCCAGTGACTCACCAAGGTCACATTTTTAAAACCCGGCTGGGTATCGGGGCAGGACCCCAGCGGTCCCTTCTTCGCCCTTCTCTGCCCAAGAGTGACTTTCCATCCCCGCCCTCGTTCCCCCCCCCTTCCCCGCGCCGGGCCTGCCGCCTCCTTCGCGGGGAGGCAGGCGCCGAGGCCCGCTTTCTGCTCGGCCCGCTTCCCCTCCCAAGTCCCCTGGCGGCAGGGTGGGCCGCCGGCCCTCGCTCACCGCTCGGGGGGTCTCGCGGCCTCTTCCCCAGCCAGGGCAGGCCCATGTCCCAGGGGTGAGGCGGCTGAGCAGGGAAGCCTCTCAGGCGGCCGTGGCTTCCGAGGCGGAACTCGGTTTGGGATGAGGCTGGCAGAGCGACACCGCGGCCTGTGGGCGGGGAAACAGATCGGTATTCCCCCCCCACCCCCCTTCTCGGCGGCTCGGCCCTCTTCCAGAAAAGGGGCTGGGCTGCTGGAGGCGTCCTGGATCCGGCCGGCGTGGTCCCTCCGGCGTCCTGGGTGTCACACAGTGGCCCACAAACGGCATAGAGGACGGCCGGGGCGTGTGAGGCTGCCTCACCCCCCCCCCCCCCCCCAAAATGTAATGGCGCGGTGGTCACGCACCGAGGCTGGGTTCGAGGTGAGGTGGGGTGGTGGTGGGGGTTTCAGGACGCCTGGGTTCTTTCTGTGCTTCATATTCCCGGGGCGAGGGGAACTGAATGACGTGGACAAGAGCGACAAAAATAAATATTTGTATCCTCAATGAGTGATTGGAATTTACTGCCAGGGAATGCCGTCATGGCCGGTGACAAAGATGGGTTTAAAAGATTAGGTAGATTCATGGAGAGGAGGAGGTTCATCAGTAAAGGGAACCTCCACATCCAGAGGCAGTAAACCTCTGGATTCCAGTGCTACCAGTGGACATCTGGGGGAGGCCTCAGTCTTTGGGTCCTGTTTGCTGCCCCCCCCCCCCCGAAACTGGTTGGCCACTGTGTGCAATTGGATGCTGGACTACATGGATTACTTGTCTGATTAAGAACATAAGACAAGCCAATGTTGAATCAGGCATGGCCCATCTAGTCCAGCACTCTGTCACACAGTGGCCAAAAATACCAGGTGCCATCAGGAGGTCCAGCAGTGCGGCCAGGACACTAGAAGCCCTCCCACTGTTGCCCCCCCCCCCAAGCACCAAGAATACAGAGCATCACTTGCCCCAGACCGAGAATTCCTATCTATACCTTGTGGTTAATAGCCACTGATGGACTTCTTCCCTCTCCTAATCATAATGGTCATTAGAAGATTCAGTATGTTTGAAGAGGTGGGCTCTAATCCACACACAAAAATCTAAAATGTCACAAGACAACGCCACTTCCCTGTATTTTCAAAGCTGTTGTCTGCCTATAATAATTAGGAAGTTTCTGATGGATAGGAGTCCTGCCCCCCGCCCCAAAAACAGAATTTTGTGTCACCACAATTTTTTTCTACCATTAGGGTTAAAAATTGTGTATTTGGGAAAATGAAAACTTGTGCAAGCAGCTTTTCATATCTTTTTTAAAAAGCAAACATTGTTTTGCAGCAATATAAGTGGTGCTATTTTTGTCAGTCCCACCCTGAAAACAAATTGATATGTAAAATAACGAAGAGCCATTATAGACCTGTTTTTCAACTCCAGTTAAAGTACAGCCGTATTACATGGGTATCCATGATTATACTTCATCACAGTAAATCTCTAGATGTGCCTCACTGACACATTACATGGCTAGGTTGTCCATGATGTGCCTGTTTTAAAGCCTAGGTATCCTTCTGACTTCTCTTTCAAATTCTAGGATTGCAAAGTAATTGGAGGAATTGAAGGGGAGATCTGACTGGAGCAACCAATGGGAGATATCCCAGTTTTTCTGTTCTAGCAGTTCTGGAAATGTCATGCCCCAATGTTTCCCATACCACTCTGCAGGGATGAACAAAATAAGGCCTGTAAGGCATTTTTCACTTCTTATAAAGTAAACTCTGTAATATACAAGGAAAGAATTCCCACAATTTAGTTGAATTAACTTTTGAATAAGCATATTTGGGATTGGACTCCTGGATTGGATTCCGTGCCAGGAGGTTAACGGCGGCGGCGAGAGAAGAGAGAAGCGGCAACGAGAAGGCGGCGAGGAAGAACAATGGCGGTCCGGCAACCGTGGAGGCAACATCGGGCGGAGGCGGGGCCAAACGACGCAGCTGCGAGGCGACGCGACGCAGCTGGAGCCTGAGGGACGAATAGCTGAGCCGCAGTACGACAAGCAGCGTGCGGAAGGAAGCCCACTGAGGATTGCCAGCTACCCGGGAGTGCCGAGACTATGCCTGGAACTGCCTTGAGCCGCCGGAAAAGTGTGGAAAAAGAAGAAAGGAAACCCGCCGTCTGGGTGCCGTTAGGTAACCCCCCCCCCTGCACAAATTGTGGCCTTAGTTAGGATCGACTACAAATGTAGTCAAAATTGTAAACCGCTCTGAGACCCATTAGGGGTTATGAGCGGTATAGAAATCACATGTAAATAAATAAATAAATAAATAAATTTTTCAAGTTCCACCATGTGACTCTTCACTCATACCACTTCAATCACATATCGAAAATAATGTAGGCCTAAAAAGGCACAGTATGTTAATTTAACCATCATGTTTTTGCAAAGCTACACCACATGATAGCAAACTCCAGTTTGCCTTACATAATATATGAGATGACCTTGAACTGCAGATTCAGTAAAAGAACTAGAGGGGGGTGTAGTCTGCAAATGAGTTGCAGTGGACATTTTGACTGGATGCACAAGCTTTGTGTTATTTTGATTGATAGAATCTAGGCTTCAGCCTTATCTTGGGGACTTCTGTAGAGTATGAGGCAGAGTGTCCTTAAACTTGTTTTTTCTCTCTGTGATACAGAGCTTCATAAGCAAAGGGCATAATGTGACCCCCAAATAAAGATAACAGGTCAGTGTTTAGGATCTCAGGAATTATGACTACTTTATGAAGCCAAGATGGGTAGAGGAATGGGACAACCTGTTATCCTATATGGAAGCATGGTAGAATCCTGGCTTGTTATCAACCAGCAATCTCTTGTTAACATATCTAATGCAGAACATTCACATATATATAATATCCTCCGGTATATATAATTCTATTTTGGTCATGGACTCCCCTGAACATTCCAACACGCTCCCAAATCAGTTCGCTCTCTGATCTGTCATTCAGAGGGTCTCCTTATCCACTGGCTGCTTTGCCTGAGTCCTGCCTCCAACATTCTAAACAGTTTGCTGTTGATGTTCTGAGCTAAAATAAATTTACCCTTAGTGTCCGTTGGGGGAAACCATGGTTGCAAATCTCCAGGTGAGGACTAAAGATCACTCAGAATTACAACTGCTTTCCAGATGACAGAGATCAGTTCCCCTGGAGAAAATGGTGGACTCTGTGTCCTTATATCCTGCTGAGATGGCCCTCGTATGACAGCCAATGTGACGTAGCAGTCAGGGCTTCAGCTATTAAAACTGATGTCCAGTTCACCAAGATCAGTTTTCCTGGAGAAAATAGCTGCTTTGGGCAGTAGATTCTATGGCATTATACCCTGCTGAGGTCCCTCCCCACCCCAAATCCTGCCCTCCCCAGGCTCTACCCCTCAAATCTACAGGTATTTCCCAACCCAGAGTTGGCAACCATGTAATTGGCTATGGAACCACTTTCCAGACCCTTGGAACCCAGAAAATGTGGCACAGGAGGAAGTGCTTTTCTACCTTAGCTGTGACTGCATAGCCCCAAATTAACATAAACCAGCCCCAGGCGGCACCTGGAGATCTCCAGCTATTAAAACTGATGTCCAGTTCACCAAGATCAGTTTTCCTGGAGAAAATGGCTGCTTTGGGCAGTGGATTCTATGGCATTATACCCTCCTGAGGTCCCTCCCCACCCCAAATCCTGCCCTCCCCAGGCTCTACCCCTCAAATCTACAGGTATTTCCCAACCCAGAGTTGGCAACCATGTATTGGCTATGGAACCACTTTCCAGACCCTTGGAACCCAGAAAACATGGCACAGGAGGAGGTGCTTTTCTACCTTAGCTGCCACTGCATAACACCCCCCTCCCCCTCAAAAAATAAGTCAGAGGTGGAGAGAACCATATCTGTTACCATGAGGCTGTCCTCCCATACCTACCCACTTGGGGCAGAAAAATGACTTGAGACAGCCCTGCCTTATAGCTAAGCAGAAGGAAAGAAACATGGCTTGCCTCCTTCCATTTTCCGCTTCCCTTAGCCGCCCCATCAGCGGGGGGAGCTTCCTTCTAGATCTCATTGTATTTCTTCCCACAATGGGAATTACTCCTAGTCAGTAATATAACTGATCCTGCCCACAGTTAAAAATATAAGAGCCATTTGGTCAATTACATTGCTAGAGACAAGAAAAGTAAATCACTGTATAAAGTCCTATTGTATCGAAAAGAATCCAGTTGGAGTAGCTGTGTAAGTTGCAGCAAAATAGTCTTGTTTGCACCTTAGAGACTACGACATTTTATTGCAGAAGAAGCTTCTGTGCCTTAGAGCCCGCTTTGTCAGATGCACACATGTAGTCCACAAAAACGTAAAGAGTAAAAATTTGTTAGTCATTAAGGGGCCATAAAGGAGCTGCGGTGGCTCAAGTGGTTAAGAAGCTGAACTGCAGGCTGTGGAAGGTCAGTAGTTCAGGAGTTCGAGACCCGGGTGCCGCATGACGGAGTGAGCTCCCGTCTCTAGTTCCAACTCCTGCCAACCTAGTAGTTCGAAAGCAAGAAATTGCAAGTAGATAAATAGGTACCACTTCGGTGGGAAGGTAACAGCGTTCCTTTCGCCTTGGTGTTTAGTCATGCCGGCCACATGACCACAGAAACATCTTCGGACAGCGCTGGCTCTTCGGCTTTGAAACGGAGATGAGCACCGCAACCCTAGAGTCAGACTCGACTGGCTTTCGAGCAAGGGATCCTTTACCTTTACCTTTTAAGGGGCCATAAGACTCCTCCTTATTTAGACATTAGTAATAATAAATACAGTAAACAGAGGAATAAGTGAGCTTGAGTAGCAAGAATATACTGTGTATTTAATATGTGAGCAGCAATAAAATAAAATGGTTGAGGGAGGAAGGGAATACTCATGCAAGTCAAGTTACATGAGACTTACTTCTTAGTAAGTATGGAGTAAGATTGAAGGTCAAAGAAGACGGGGACGGCAAAGGATGAGATGGTTAGACAGTGTCATCGATGCAACGAATATGAAATTGAGCAAACTTCAGAGGACAGCGGAAGACAGGAGGGCCTGGCGGGATCTGGTCCATGGGGTCGCGAAGAGTCGGACTCGACTGTGCAACTGAACAATAACAACA